AAGGCGAAGGAAACCCGATACGTCCCGACAACGTAAATCATCCCTCAACAAAAGAGTAAATGAAAAAAAGAAGCCTCTCGCAAACAATTTATTCAGCTTTCGTTGCCGTGATCGTTTAGAAGCCTCTGATGTAATTACGAACAGGAGGGAAATCTTAAAAACATCAGTATTGACAGAACATTGATCAGTATATAATACTTGAACATCTAATTGTTTTACTAAAAATATAAAACTATTTCATTCACAAAGCGTAGTAATTATGTAAAAGATATCAGTAAAAATTATCCAACTACAGCTGTACTGTATATATTAGTGATGTTTTTTTGTTTTTTGATTTTTAAATCGACAAATAACAAAACACTGTCTACAACAATCGTTTATTCTAGCATTTTCGAATTGGGAACGTATCCAAATAGTTTTAATTATCTAAATCTGTATCACTATGAATTAGCTTTTAAAATAACCGTGCCGATAACGTGCATATCTTCTATTAACGACTGTTGCCCTGCAAATTAGATACGTTACAACTTTAAGGACCCGTTCCACCAAATTCTGAATCGTCTGAAATCAATCCAACGTATCAAATAGTGATGGAATTATTGGATTTAGTAACCTGATCCGACAGTGACGTCATTTTTAAGCTATCTGAGCCTCTGTCAGCCAGTGGTCAGACCATAACTACCACATGCCCTAACTATCGAATCATAAATCGTTTTAAGTGACTAAAGCCTCAACCTTATAATGTGTTTTGATTTATGTGTTTTTGTTTAGATGTTTTGGCAGCGGAAACCAAGGGTTAAGTGCCTTTATCAAAATGAGATTATCCTATTTAAAAAAAAAACAATGATACCTTTTTAACTCTGTATTCATAACTTTTCATCATGCACAAACGAAAACCATGTGTCGTTTTATTTTAGTATTAAAGTTTTCATAAAACATCGTTGTAAAAGTTTTATTTTTGAATGCTACGGATTAGTTTATAAAAATAAAACTATCAAAGAGAAGATTCCCCATCCTGTGTTATTTAAATAGTAAACAGGAAGTGACCTAATCTGCATGTTTTACAGTTTATCTTTTTCTCTAAAATCACAATTTTACTCTTAAACATACTGCCTACACCTTCATTATTATTATTAGCGGCACAGTCGAACTTTTCAATTAAAACTGCCACTGCCAAACTATAACTGCACAATTCTTGTGAGAGTTAAAACTTTTCCTACACAATCAAAGATAGAACGGGTGGTTTAGGTTTTCTAAAAATAATAATAAAGAAACATGTTTATTATCGCTCCTGAAGGCTCAATACATTAATAGACCTACTTATTATTTTTTAATAGACACCCCTTATTAGTGTACTAGTAAGCCCTCAGTGGGAATGTCTAATACAGTATGTGATGTTGCGATGCGAGGATTGCTTTTAATTTACACCGTCACAATCAATGTAATTTTAAACTGCAAACGGTTTAATACTGAAACGACATTTAAATCTGTATAAGCATCTTAAATAATAAGGCCACACAACTCCAAATTCATTTAAAATTTTGACACCTAACAAATTGTAGAAGGCTCTTATGAAGCCAAATATTTAAGAATCTTTTCAGTATTTGGCCATCACGCTGTTAAGTTATTCGTCCTTATACTTTCCTAAACTTTACTCAAGCATATCTCCAGTTCAAATCACACTAATATTGCTTACAAAATATATCCATTGCGGCACTAAATCTTGAAAACTAATATGTTATCGTCAGAACAGCGCATGTCATAAATAATGAATATTTATCGCTGTTATACATTTTAGTGACATGAATCTAATTATACAACATTTCCGGTCCGCCATGTTGACTCGACTCTTACGTAGTACCGTAATTAAACACACGGCAAATACATTAAACGTACGAGTAACTTTTTTCATTTAAAATATACTAACTCAAGTGTTATTGATAATTTCGATGACAATTTCAAACATACCTTTCAAAATTATATGAGCAAAGTTTATGTCTGAATAATTTGAAGCTTTTCATGATAAGGAGCTCGTTCCAATTCCTCTCTTTCAAGACTTATCGTTTCAATTTTTTTTTTCAGACCATGAAATTACGATCTCCTTCATTATCTCTATTTAGCTATCTTTAGTACCGAGTTAATTTGTTGCTAAAATACACTCGTCTATGTGATTTACTAATCTACTCGACTATCTAAACTATATCTATACTATTATAATAAAGCGTAAACACACACTTCTTTGTTGCCTAAGATGTCAACAATTTCAGCATGTTTTTGAAAAATTCGTTTTTTAATGAAAAGCCCTACACTTACGTCATGCTTTAGGCTATATATTTTCACGCCATTAAATTTAGGGGGTAAATATTTTGGATAAAAACCCTAATGTGAGAAAGAGACCATAAGTTGCTGCCAACATCAAAAAAGAAATATTGCTAAGGTTTGTCATGTCATGTCAGTTTGACATTTGCAATTGATAATTTGAAAAATTTAAACAATAAAATAAAATTTTCATAATTTCATGCGGATGAAGCCGCACGGAAACAGCTAGACTTCGTTATACTTTTGGTTACTAATTTATTCTGTACCCGACTAAATGACATTACAAGCATTACTCTTGTTGTTAATCTAAAAAACTACTTTAGTTATAACCTTACTAATTATTACTAAAAACTATTGTGCGTGAGGTGGACCAAGGTATCTTGTAGCTCCATGTTAGTGAATTAATCAACGAACATCCTTATTTACACCTCCAAAAATTCTCGAAATCAATAACAATAAATAATTCAGTTAAAATAATGACCGCATTGGATAGATTATTCTGAAAATTATGATTCTACCTAGAGTATAATATTACTTCCAGTAATCGTGTCGGCCATTAACCGTTGCAATTCAAAGAACTCGTAACCATCACAACCGTGTTACGATGCGGTTCACCATCTGCACTAAAGCTGAATGCGTCATATAAAACGTTTTATCTACATATTTTAACCTTTAAAGAAATTTTCTAATTACTCAGAAGTTCCCTGTCATTTATGTCTTAAGATATTAAAGCTTCTTATGATATTAAAATCACGATATATCAACATTTATTGCTCTTATACGTCATTTTATTATCTCCTGCTCTCAGGGTCATACAAAAATATTAATGTTTAAAGACTTTTATTCCTAAAAAGACATGTACAGTCACTTACATGAGAATTTACATTTACAATACGTTGATTGTCGCCTATATTCAGTATAAATATTAGCAGAATATGGTAAAAAAAATTACCAATGTCGTTTTTCTAATATGAAATTGAAATAATTTATGTGACGTACTTACGGTGTAGAAAATCTACATTATCGGAGAAGAAATTAAAAATTTAATAATTCAACCAACCAGCTGTAGGCCAGCGGATGACTATGGCCTAGTCACCCCTAACCTGAGGTAGGCTCCGAGCCCCTCAGTGGGGAGATAGTCTAGTGATAATGGTAAAAAAATATTAAAACCCTAATAAAAACTAAACTAAGGACGAATGTTAGTAGTTATTCATAAAAGTTAAAACAGTAAGTAGAACTTCGATAACTCAAACCTTGGTAACTTAAAAACCTCTATAACTTCAAAATACAATATGTTCCCTTCCCATCAGAGCCCAAAACTCTATAACATAGGCCCTGATAACTTAAAACCTCTATAACTCTTCATGTGCGTCTCCTCCTCCATCGTATAATGGTAGGCAACGCATCTGCAATTGCGGATGTCTATGGGCAGCGGTCGCTTCACCATTTTGGCGGATTCAAGTGGCCACTTGCTCGTTTGCCACCTTATGTTATAAAAAAAAACTTAAAATATTTTGTGTGTTCCCTTGGACTTTAACTTATCGAGCTTCTACTGTATTTATGAAAATTGTCACTGATTTAAAATAGAGTCCACACGAGGCTCCGATACGGGTCAATGTCGTCTGAATATAAAAATATCCACTCGCTTACCTCTATTGTGTACCCTTTTCATCTCCACTTGGGCAGAACTAAGACGTTACACAAAACACCGCTTAAACTGGTAAAGTTCTAAAGGCTTATTTGGTCTTCGTACAGTTTTCCTTGCCACGTGTAAAGTATTAAATTTCTGTCTAAAATTTGATATTACGAACGTTATATCTACTTCTATACTACTTATTTATATAAAAGCGATGATTTGTATGTTAGTAAACAAAGAATAATAGTCTAAGGAACCAAAGACCTATAAAAAATAAAGAAAAAAAATAACTAAGTAACTAATTATTTAATACCTTTAAAAACATCTTTGGTAAACAACAGAATGACGGCGATTTTCTTATCTATCATTTAAGGAATTTTCATATAAATATGGCGCTAAAATTCTACGTCGATTAAATTATTTCCTTTTTTAACATTGCTGCAATTCGCCTGCATAATATTCTTTAGCCTTTAATTAGAAAAGGAGTAAATAAACTTTGTAAAAAGCACCCTAATTGGCCACGGTCTGCGGTTAGACTGTAATCTACATTTTTTATTCTAACTCCTCTTTTGTAAGGAGCGAAATGTCCACAATATGTAAGACATGAAAATTAATTACTGGACATATTTTGTACAACTTTCTGTGCAAGAAATAGTCACTTTTTAATAACTAAAAACCTTTATTTTCCAAAAATAAAATATTTAATAACAAGCTGATCCATTCTTGAGAATTTTTAACTTTTTGTAAGTAAAACTCGCCATATTTCTTATAACCGTAAACTATCGCAAATACTGTATACGCAGAAATATAATAATACTAGCTTTCGCCCGCGAATCCGTGCGCGTAGAAATAAATGAATCCAAATCTAGTAACCTATGTATTTTTCCACACTATCCTCTATGTCTATGCCAAATTTCATCGCAATTCGTTCTGTCGTTTAGGCTACAAACTCTAACAGACATCCATCCATCCATCTAAACTTTCGCATTTATAATATTAGTAAGATTATACTATTATCTTTGTACACATTAAATCTAATTAAAAAGCCACTTGAATCGCTCTCTTGTCAGGAATCTTAAATTCTTGGATAGGCTTTAAAAACTATATAGTCATTAACAATGATTTGAAATTTAAAATTAATTGATATTGATACGTTCAAATTGCAACCAAGTTCAATAATGATAACGGTGGAGATCGTATTCTCTTGATGTCTGAAAAAAATATATTGAAACGATAAGTCTTGGAAGAGTGGAATTGGAACGGAGTCCTTATCATGAAAAAGCTTCAAATTATTACAATCTTTACAGAACAACAATATGTTTTTGAATACACCAGTAGTGGAAACTCCGTTACATAACAACCTGCTGGGTTTCCAATATTAAATTGTTATTGTTTTTCGGCCACTGTCCTCCCCAGACATCATCGTTTTCCTCTTGTTTGTCCCGACCATTTAAGGAAAATTATGTAATTTGTCACATAGGGACAAACGAAAAATACAGGCTAATTACCCTCATCGAGTTTCCTGATGAAATTATACTCAAAATAAAGATTGGTTAAACAAACATAGCCCTGCCAGGCTAGGATTAGGCAACCCGGTTACAACATGTTTAAAAAAATGTCCTCTTTTCTGTCATGTAGGTTTTATCAGGAAATCTGATGAGGGTAGAAAAAACGCTTTGGATCTTAGCCTATTATTAAAATCATAAATATATCTATACTATTATAATAAAGCGTTTTGTTTGTTGCCAAAGATATCAGCAATTACAGCATGTTTTTGAATAATTCTTTTTTTTAATAAATAGCCCTACACTTGCGTCATGCTTTAGACTATATATATTAACGCCATTAAACTTAAGGGGTAAATATTTTTGATAAAAACCTTAATGTGAGAAAGAGACCATAAGTTGCTGCCAACATCAAGGAAGCAAGGTTGTCATCATGTCATGTCATTTTGACATTTGTAATTGATAATTTGACAAATGTAAACAACAAAATAAAATTTTCGTAATTTCATGCGGATGAAGCCGCGCGAGAACAGCTAGTCATAAGATATTTGACTAATTCTTTGTGGTAGAAAAATTAACAATACCACCGTTGGTGTCGCTGACCACAAAAAAAACTATGTACACATGATTCACTAACCGTTATGTATGTGTCATTTTTTACTTGCTTTTTAAATAAACACGTTTGATTTATCAAGTTTTTACCTGTGCTAACATAACAGCATATTATAACAGTTTCTGATATGAGGGCATGTCCATCATACACTGTCAAATGTATTATACAATAACGGTTGGTTAACGTTTGAAGCCTGACGACTCAGAATTGTTAAATGGTGACTTAATGTAGTTTTAATTTTTGTAATGCTGATCTCGTAAAACAACACGAGCCATTGTAATTATTATATTACTAGTTTTATCCCGAGACAGCGTCTGCCTGGAATTAGAAAAAAACAAAAGTGAGTAGCCTATGTGTTCTTCCAGACTATCCTCTATCTATACATCGAAATCCGTTCAGCCGGTTAGGCTTCAAACTCTAACAAATATCCATCCATCCAAACTTTCTGATTTATAATATTAGTATGATTAGCTTTCGTCCGCGACTCCGTCCGCGTGAAATAAAAAAATACAACATAGAGTAGCCTATGTGTTCTTCCATACTATGCTTTACACATACACCAAGTTACATCGAAATCCGTTGAGCCGTTTAGGCTACAAACTGTAACAAACATGCATACATCTAAATATCCGCATTTATATTACGAGCATGGTTACAATATTTTTCATACCAAACCTTCAACTCTTCGCTTCTTCACGACCTGATCTCGTCTCCATTTTCTATCCATAATTTTGCCTACCATTCCTGAACACTATACGACTTCCAT